TCTAATAGATTTTATCCAAAAATATTTGCATAGCCGATTCGCTTTAGGAAGCAGATCGTCTGTCTTCTGTAATCTGGAATAGCCGGAAAACTGAATGAAGTAAGTTATCGCAACTCCCAGGGGAATGTGGATTGCTTACAATATGTGAGAGCTGCAGGTTGTTCTTTACTGTTTGCGTTTTTGTAACTTTCTCGAGTCCTCTTCGTCTTAATGAGTGATTCACATGCATGATTGTAACTCCTGTAACTAGATATTTTGTATCTTCTCCTCAACTAGACGGTACCCATTTCTCTATTTTCTAACCTCGAGAATTGCTACACCGAATAATTGTCCCTATAAACACGTTTGTTACAAGCTGATAATCGTATTATTTTGAAAATTGCAAGTAATGACGTATGTCCGTAGATGGATTATCTGGTACACTGCGCGATATCGGCGTGGAATTATTCAGGTTTTGTTTATTTGCAACGAGTTCTCCATTGCAGAAGCCGAAACGCGTCAGGTTCCCATATCCTTCTCAGGGAAGCTTCCAGGCGGCTTGCAGACAGAGATGCATATGAAGAGTTGCTAGTAACGCCTACGACTGAGTCATGTCCCAATTGAAACAGTCAGTTGCTGCCTGCACAGCGCATCAGTAAGAACCGAGCTGATGCGCATGACCAACATGCAGTCAATATTCCGCGATGCCTGATCATGTATGAACTTGGAACCTATGTTGCTCATAGGAGACAGCTAAACAAACCTAGCTGACGCAAACACCTAAAATGCCGCTAACCAATTGGATGACACGCGCCCATCCATCCCGTCTAACTTGGACGAGATGAAAAGCTGAGTTTTACTAGGCATTCCGAATATCAGATGTCATCCCAGGAAGCATACGGCCTTCTTGGTCTGCAGCATTCAGTGGCCACTCACCCCATCAAACGAAAGATACAATTCAGGTTATCGAAATATCCTGATGAGACAATCAGCAAAAGAGTACGAACATTGATTACCTCATAAAGAGAGCATCTCAGTGACCGTCTTGTAGAGCCGTGTTTACGCAAGGCAATCTTTAATTGCCAATTTGTTTTGCATTATACATTGTAACTTGGTGCTCAGTGATTATTAGAACAATTCGCCCATGACAAGTTTCCACTTGCTAATTTTGCCCGTCGTCTTCTAGAGCAAGTCAAGCAATTTGCGCATAGGAACATTTTGATCGCTCCCCCCGAAGGCGAACAACCGGACGTCCGCTGCCCATGCCATCGATGATAAGGAAGGTTTAGAGCTTCTGTCTATGTGCCAGGTATAAGTTGCTTTAAAAAAACTCAACCGAATCGGTTTGTCGCATGCTCCATCAACATTCAACACACCCCAAATGTACTGGAACAGCACCACATGTTGCCATTCGGCAAAGAAAATGTGTCTGTAGTGGCATCCTTCAACTCCAAGCTTAGTACACATGCTGGTTCGCAAAGGCATATCATCTGTCAGAATAAAACTCCGCGACTCAGTCGAAGGCGATAACTGACGCAGTCGTAGTATTTGTTATGAGTGGCATAGACCTCGATGAAAATCATCGACTACAAAGTGCCGCACTCCACACCCTGGCGTTCCATACTTCAGTATGACCCTGCAAGTTCCCGACTCCTCTCCGGTCAACCATTGATTCACCGTGAATCGATCAAAAAAAGTTTGAAGCCTTACAACGGTGTTCCAGAAGATGGGAGCTGTATAGAAGATTGTTTTTAAGTCTCTCAAGACAAAAGCAAACTCAACAGTCGGTGTTTTGCCTGCCGTTTTCATTAGCAAATGCACTCAGCTTACTTGTTTCTTGAAGTCCCTCGGCCTATCGTTGTAGTACGCTCCCTGGTAGCCAAAAACTGCGTGACTGTCCCGGATACACGCTGCACACACAAGTACCATATGGTTATCCTTCACGTGTTTCCTTGACGCTTTAACAAAAGCCGTGAACTATAAAAACCGGATGACAGCCAATTTCACAGTAATCTTACATCAAGCCATATCTAATGGCATAGCACTTCAAATTGGAAACTAAATGCACATAGACAAATATGAATGGAGAATAATCAAACCAAATTTCAGCACAATCGGGAAACATTATGATGCCTTTTATCTGAACATTCGCACAACGAAATGCAACTTAATAACATCAAAATTACATGCTCAATCCGCGAACGCTCTGGACAAGCCGGCATTTGGTGGTTTAGAGATAGCCGTAGTGCGCTCAAATTAACAAATCTGTCCGTGGCTCAAGCACCTCTAGAAGCAACAGCAGTTCTGATTTCAAATTTTTATATTCAGTAAATCAGTTTATTTACCGGCCACGAGGAGCTTTTCCTACAGTAAAATAAACGGGGAACTTTCCAGCGATGAGGGGCTGAAGAAATGCGCCGAACCAATTGCAACAAACAAGTTGCATAGGACATTCTATTTAATATCATTTCACCCTAACTTCGGGCTGGAATCTGCACCAAAATCCAGCGCTTTACACATCAAAAATTTTATATTGAAACTCAGGCAGGAAAATGGGAGGAGCGGTCGACATTCCGAAAAATTTCTTTAAATTAAAATCAAGCCGGTGCCATTGTGGTGTCCAAAGAGCCGAGGACTGTTCAGACCTGAGCACGCATAGATCAGGAAGCAGCAATATTAGACACTCCATAACCAATGCCTGCGGTCCATACGCGAGCACTGAATACACCACACAGTCGATTACGCTTTGCGTCAGAACTGCAATGTCGGGGTTTGTTGTCTGGCGTAGATGTGGCAAAGCGTCGTAAGAAGCATCCGTATTGAGTTCTGGCCTGGCTTCTTTCGAAACGTAAGCCAAACGGATGAATCCTGTGCATCTACTGGGTCGCCGTCTGGTTAATTTAGTCTATACCGACAGCGCCCACCGATTGCCAGCAGAGCATTTTTACTCTCTGAAACGGAGATCAACGACGATTCGGGCTTGTCCTTGATTTCTGATAGTGTTCTCACCGGAGACTCAGATAACGCCGGTCTAGGGCATTATTAAGCACTTTCAAGATACCCGTCCCCTAGTCACAATAAACGTCAAGTCCCATGCTTGAGAGCATGCTTACCAGAACAGTTTTCAGCAGGTTCCGAACGTAGTTTGGCGTGAAAATTCAGCGTGCAAGCCGGCCGTGACACAGAACTTTCTTGTGACACGTCTCATCCTCCGTCGACTTGAATTTACAGAACGGAAAAGCCTTCATCCAAGTGCTAGCCTTATCGGCTTCACCCGCGTTGGGACAGACGCTAGGGCATGTACCAGTAGCTGACGTTTTATTTTCTGCGGGGCTGTAGGGCCCCCTACATTGATCTAGTGGAAACGTCTTACGGAACTGTTCATCACAGCGAAAACTGCCCAGCAGATGTAGTTCTTGTTAAGGCACAACCGCTTATTTTAACTGTTTTGGAGCCCTCGGTGCTGCTTCATCTAAGCAAGCCACCACCCATAGCTGAAAGACATACGGCCGTCAAACAAACCAAATGGACGTGATGAGTCAAGTGACCGTGTTGAATTCCAGGTGAAATGAACAATATCGATCCCACCCCTCTCTCACAGAGCTGTGGGAAACTGGTTTCGAATCCGGTGGTCATCCTGTTGTGTCATGATAACTGTTCATAAGACTTGAGAGCCGACCACTTGGCAGTGGGTTAAGAATGAATAGAAGGTGCGATCCAACAGGATGCAACGACAAGTCGGATCATAATCTGGTTTTGGGCATGAGATTTACAATCATTTGAACCAAATGAGTACCGCTTCTCGAGAAAATTCGGATTAAACTCTTGCTTATATCTTACCGGATGTTATGGGCTCTAGAACGAAGCGACTTTTCAGGTGCGCGACAGAAGACGATAGTCCAAGAGAACTGGTTATCCAGAATATCATTCATGTTGGTAGATGGAAGCAACTATCCTGATAGATGAGCATTGAATTCCAAATATTGGCCGGATACATTGAACGATGTGGTGGTATTCGTGTGTCACTTTCTCTTCAGATTGTCAAATCCGAGGTCGTAGGCGCGTCGAATGTCTTCGTCGCAAGACGAACATAGTTCCTCCACTTTAACCCATTTCTTCCTTTCCCCTATAAATCGTTATTGACATACACTGACATTGTGTTGATGGATGGTACCTTCATTTTTTTCATTTTCGTGGCAGCCGATGTTGATAGTCCCGAGCATTTCGTGTGAGTGGCATCATCTCTGTCTATAGAAGCATAGGCGACATGTTCCTTCCATCTACCAAATAATAAGTCACGTTTATGTCCTCAAAATATTCATGTAACTCCAGCTCGCCGGCCAGCCAAGAACAGCAAAATATCCTTTGATTTATCAGCATGACTTCAGGTGCAAAGGGCCCCACATAGGTACCGGGCCCGTTATCTTCTCACTTCAGGGACATTTTTCCATAAGCGCTACTCACAGGGTTACAGGGTCCCTATCGTACAATAAGTCTGATGCGCACTAACGATACAATAAGTTGATGCGCACTAACGAAAGTGCCTGAGCAAGCTTCTCGGTTGCATTCTCCCGTGGAAAAAAGGCCAAGTGCCAACGATGAGTACGATGTGCGCAGTGATATCAGGGAAATCCAGTCGCTATCTGGACATTGCACTGGTAACCATCACCCAGTGGATACGCAAGCATAGTTGGCTGTTGCCTCCACATTTTCGGTCAATCAGAGCCCTGTTTGAGGCTGGGCCTGTATGCTACCCGTTTTGTGGCCAATCGCTTGCGAGTTAGGAATCCTGGACGTAGCGGTGACTGGTTGAAATCTGTTAGGTCGGTTTCGTTACGGGATTCAACCTGACACGATGCTGCCTGGATGGCCGCGTCATCCGACATATATAAACTCCCCACCTATCTTATATTGTTTGCCACAAAGTCATCTTAATCTTAACCCCCGATAACAATCTTCGGGGACCCTACGACCCCTTAATGAGCAAGCCACATTTTAGGTATGAATTTCACTGCACTAACCTGGACTGGCGATCTGGATGATATTCAATGGTCATTTGATCCTATGAGAGAAGTTGGACAGACGGCTTTGCTAGCGCAACTATTTCCACCTTTTCACACCATATTTCATCCGTTAGCTTTAGCTAACAATCCCGACCTAAAGCTGCCACCTTGACGTGGTGGTCGGGCTTCAGTGCTGCAATGATCCTGCGGGCTAGACTGGCTGGAACTTCGTTCCACAAGGTGCAACCGTGCCAGGATGGCCAAAGGGGAGCAGCCAGACCAAGAGCAGCGAGACCCCGTACTACGAACAATCGTGGTACGAGGCGGTCTGGGGGTAAAGTCGTACTGTCCTCTGCGACAGGAGTTAGCTAACAATGCTGTGTTGGTTTTTTGGAAAGAACACTTGAGCTGGCTCAGATCTATACTATCGACCTATGGCGAATGTCCAAAGATGGTGGATTGGAACGCATCTTTCTGACTTGTGAGGTTCAGAAAAAAGAACTGTTAGAGGTGGTCGCAAAATGGCGTGGTCGGAATTGTAGTATACGGTGTCTGTCATTTTGATTGATTCATATGTAAGTATTGGTGATGTACAACCTTGCTTACTGGGCTTTGGCTCATGAGGTTCGTTTCTGTTTTGCGTCCACAGAAATTGTCGTGAACATCTGCCTTCGGAGAATCACTGTCCCCTGGCGCTTCCATAGCGTGCATATTACAGAATCAAGTTGCGTGTTCCAGAAGAAGTGGGAGCCGATTTATGGCTCTCCACCAGTGGACAATCCGATTGGGTCCGCGGTGAAATTGCACTTAGTGATGGCAAGTTTACGCGAATCGAGTGTTCATGTTGAATATTCGTACTGGCCAGAGGCAACCCATGGTTAGCACACAACTGGGGGTCGCTTTCCGCTGTATATGCAACAGGCATCGACCGCCCAAATGTGATTTCAAAGAGCTCATGCGACCCACTTTAGCCTTCATATCGCCCGGTTCTTGCATGTGAATTTCGATAAAAAAGTATCATGAGCGCCAGAACTATAGTCAGTTGGGCACATGCCGACACCATATATAGGCATCATTTTGTACGTGGAGTGGCACTGGGCTTGATTGAGCTGGACAACCGGGCAGCACAAAGATAACTGTTCACTGGATGCTGGGTAAGGCCCCCGCACCCCGGTATTATCGAGACTGGAATGCCAACATCACTGTCGACAGTATGACATCAGTGTTCAACAACCACGATGCTTCGATACCGTGCAACCACGATTTAATTGAAAGCCTTATTGTAAAGAAAAGAACAGAGGTCCGTGTGGAAGGGAATTAGTGCTAGCGTATTACAATCATTCCAAGGTCCCCATCCTGGAAAGCGAGTAGCACCGACAGCACCCTCAACGTTTCGTGATCTTCATACTCCTCTGCCAGGTCACCTCTCTGCTACCGCCAAATTGAATTGGACATGGAAAACAGCTTTCTCTTCGGCAAGCTATGGTTAGGCATACGCAACACATGCCCCAAGCAACACAGCTTCTGGTGCTGGACACCTTCAATGGAAGTATCCGTTGCACAACCGAACACTGGTTTTCAAATTTCCTCGCTAGAGATACGTCGACACCAACCCCCACGAGCTGTGGATCTGAGACAACGATTGTCGAACACCGGAAGAGGTCTCAGTTCCGCTGCCCAAACAGGTCAAGTCTCAGTCATACAACAAAGCATCCCGCACTGTAGCTTGATATACATGTGGGGGTGAGATGGCTCAGTGGTTAGAGCGCAAATTTACTGACCCGAAGACCCGTGGTTTGAACCCGACCTCTGCCTCTGGACTTCCTCTCTCTAGGCTTGGACAACCTGGCAGTATCCCAGCCCTCGTGCTTCTGGGGCCATGGCAGTTTGGCTCCGAAAGAATGCTACAGTCGTGAGAAATCATGACAAACACGTCCCTTCGTTTTTGGGGGTACACCAATTTGACGCCATGTGTGTCTCAAATTAGCAAACACGACCCCGAGCCTAGCAAATGCGTGAAGTGACTTCACCTGTCACACTACAATCAGAACTAATACAACTTCCAAGATACGTAAAACGCTCCACAACCTCCAGTGCCTCCCCTGGATTGGTGTATAGCCGGAAGCGAGTGGAAACTGATGGGGCGGTTAGCCCAATCACTGTGGTCTCATTTTGAATTCTTGTTTCTGAGACACAACACACATCAATGCCAAGTGAGTCCAGTGTGAGAGCAAGAACATCTTGTTATCCCGCTTGCTTCAGAGTGCGCACATTGAAGAAACCGGATAGACTGGGTGTCGAAGCTTGAAGATTGATTTGAAGGTATTTGACGATGTGGGCGCCATGTGGCGAGCAGATGCACGCAAAACCGATGCAAGACGAACGGAGTCATGAGTCCTAAGTGCTGGGCCTACAAGGAGAGTTATTAATGGGGTGGGGAGACGGATAGGGAAAAGCATGTGAAGGAGGAAGAAGGGAGGCGTCAGCAACAGCCTGTTTTCGCTCACCCGCCCTGTTGTATGCAGCATGTAAGACGACCTGGCTGATGGCCCCATGCGACGGTCGATGTGGACCCTTGAGCAGCACCATACTATTTGGTTATCGGATTGTGATGAGGCCGACATTTTACAACCAGTCTTTCCTCGGGTGAAGGCAGCATCGCCACTTCAATGAATATAGATATGCTGTTTGCCTTGAGGAAACACCTTATAGCCTTCACATTACCGTCACATAAGGCAGCATGATTTAACCTCCAAATTTCCTCATCACGATTACTCTTAGTGCGTGGTCTCGCTGCTCCTAGTCTGAATGTTTTTTTTGGCTTCCTGGCATGACTGTACCTTGTGGAATGAAGTTCCAGCCAACGTAGCCCACCGGATCATTGCATCACTCAAGCCCGACCACCACGTCAAGGTGACAGTTTTGGGTCGGGAAGAAGGCATGAAAACTGCACACCACCAACTGGTTTGATTGTTGCTACGTTTACTTCCTGTTGTCATATCATGGCGAGTTCCATGCGAAATTCTGAACAAATAATAATAATCGCCCAACTGGAGCACCCTTCCACTGCCCAGCTGCCATGCCACCTGAAGGGAGCACGAGGGTTGGAGTACTGTCAGGTTGCCAAAGCCTAGGCTGGATAAGTCGAGATGTAGAGGTCGGGTTGGAACCACGGTCCTAACCACTGAGCCCAAACAACTCAATTGGGTAAATTTAATCTCCTGCTCGGAAGACTATGACTTACTACGAAGCACCCACTTACGCACGAATTCATCGCCTACTCACTGTAGCCGACCAACTCTTGTTACGCTACGGAGACATGGGGTCAAAAGTTCGAAGGCCCCCTAGGTCCTTGGAGTGGAGCATCCTAAGTTGGTAACCAGAAAGTTAGACCGTTCTCACAGTTGCCACATAGACCTGGAATTTTAGCCCCAGCGAATTTAGCTTGCGACGCCACAAATGACGCACGCTGTTGGCGCCTGCATTGTCGCGCACTGATATCCGCTGCAGTACAGTAATGGCCTGTGTAGATTGCTAAATGCGTGAACCGATCAACAAGCTCGAGTTCGTCACTCTTAGATTTCAGGGAGAAACAAGAGGATGAGAAATCACGAAAGAAGGTTTTGGACTCTGAATAACGCATACTTAAACATGTGAGGACCTTCAATGCCCTATTTAGGACACGTATGCAGATGAATAATCGCGGATCTTATCGTGGTGTATCACGAGGAAGGTTTTGGACTCTGAATAAGGCATACTTAAACATGTGAGGACCTCCAATGCCCTATTTAGGACACGTATGCGGATGAATAATCGCGGATCTTATCGTGGTGTGGCGATTTCCGTGTCTCTGTGATCCGCTGAGCTATAATAGAGGTTTCATTTTGACACATGCAGTTTCTCATTCCAGATTTGTCAAAGGATAGAGGCTGGACAAACCTGGTGTCCTAGTCCTCAAACTTAGGGTCGCAACAGACACAGCCACTTGCTCCGCCAAAAAAGCTTTTGCCATTGTAGTAGCAGGAATCCACCTGTTGCTATTTGGTCAGGATTTTTATCTGGAGGCTTTGGTTGAGAACTCTAATTATTCTCCCGTCTAGGTGTGGCCGCCAGCCATCGTACACCCATGAACGTCAGGACTGAAAGTGCTGTTATGATACATCGGCTTTCTCGTAGTACCATCATCCACACAGGCAGGGTATGCGAAGGCACGCTACTGCTGATGCATCTTTTCTTACAATTTCACGTTTCCCCCTCCCAAAGTGACTACTGTATGTAGATCCCTGCACTAGGACTAACCGATTTGTTCAATTTTCACGCGCAGCTGTGACTTCTGAGCATCCGTCTTCAGTAGCACCCTAAACAAACCGAAGACGAAAGTCAGTCTACTCAGTTGCCTCTGGGGTTCGCATACAGAAGCGAGCTGGACAACAAGAAGCTCCTGTGTGTACAGTGGATGGACGCTATTCGTCAGAATTAAGATTCCAGGAATCAAGTACGGCATTTGAACTGACTGCGCCGCTCTCTTCCCGCTTCCGGCTGTGCATCTCTAGTGACGCGAGGGCCGCTGCAGCTGGATATGCCGGGGCAGATACTGTGTTGGGCCATCGAGTTGGGCGTCTCTACTCGTCTGGATACCCGCTGACAATCACCTCTGCACGGTTAGTTTGGCACCACCTGTGAAAGAATCTCGAGAACGGGGTCCATTGCTTCCTGTTTATTGTATCGGCCTGCATCCCGATGGACTGTAGCTATGAATCATCCAAAGAGAGTTTTTTGGCACTCTGGGTGTTCTTCAACAACAAGCTGAAAGCTCAGACGTCGTTCTGGTTACTGATGGAGCCCATTTGGGCGGTCATTTGGTTTCAACACGAGACGCACGGACAACGGGAAGCGCCTACTGCAGACATGGCTGATTTGACTGTTCCGTTGCAGTTCCAACTCCTAGAACAGCGAAAATCGCTTGACGACGTGGTGCCCGCCAATAAACTGGCTCGCGATCCCAAGTGAGTTACATTGCCATCAGTGCTGAAGGCCGCTACTTCTGGAATACCTGTGTGGACCACGATCATGCATCTGCCCGCCTCTCCTTTTGAGGCCTACACAAAATGCACATGTCTCGCTGAACCATTGAGAAACCTTTGGACCCAGAAGTCAAACAAGTCAAACCTATCGGAACCGGCTCCCCAAACGCCTGCTTGTTGCTCCGATTTCGGTTGCTAACACTCACTGGAGACAAATGTCCAAAGCGGTGAGAAACCTTGGACCCAGAAGTCAAACAAGTCAAACCTATCGGAACCGGCTCCCCAAACGCCTGCTTGTTGCTCCGATTTCGGTTGCTAACACTCACTGGAGACAAATGTCCAAAGCGGTACTCAATACCAGGACGTCTACCTGCAGTACAACTCATCCAACCGATGGGAACAGGGCTTTATCATCATCATCAAAGGCAGCAACATCACCAAAGCGGTAATACCAGGACGTCTACCTGCAGTACAACTCATCCAACCGATGGGAACAGGGCTTTATCATCATCATCAAAGGCAGCAACCAACATGTTGGCACTGATGCTTCACTGCCGTACAACCATAAGGTTCGTCTAATATATATATATATATATATATATATATATGTATAT